ATCATATGGTTGTGGCCATAACCTTGATTTTTTTTTTAACCCCACCTGCAGAGATCCTTGAATGTGGATTTGGATGTTCTCACCACTTGTGAAATGAAGGTACTATTGCTGCAGGCGTGAAAGCATCCTTCCTCAGTAAAATGTTTTGTTTTGAAATACAAAAAAAATTCAAGAAAAGGAGCACATCTTTATACCTGGTGTACATTTTATTTTTGTTGTATGTTTTAACACTTATTAAAATTCTTTTAATCATTTAATGTTTTTTTTGTGAGAATTCCAAAACAAACGGGAGAAGTCAACCTGTACGTCAAAAGTAATTTGACGCTCACAACCAAAAGCTGTGGTAAAGCCCAGCGGTCTCTTTAATATGCAGACATTTCCCCCTATCATTTCTTTTCTGGGTTTTTTTTTTTTTTTTTGGCAAATCATGCAGTCATTCTTGACTGATACATCACATAAAGTCTGTTCCCTTTAAAACCTGGAAATCAGGAAAACAAAAATCCTGCCATGGTACAATTAAAATGGAACTGGTTCAGATAATCTTCACAAGGAAAATACTTTTGAATAAAAAAGGAAAAGCTTTTGTCCATTTATTCATCTTTTGGATGGGAGATTTCAAGAGATTTAGAAAAAGAGAAGCTGTGAGTATTTCCTCTGGTAAGATCATTTCTATGCATGGATATGATTCATCAGCTTTCTTGGACAAGCCCCATTGAATTGAATGGGAAACACTGTTGCACAACTTCCATTAAATATAAAATAGACGTGAGAACAAATTTCAGGCTGGCTGGGATCCTAATAATCATTAAGACACAGCTTTCCAAGAAACTGATTTGCAGTGTTACATTGTTTTGGCAAAGTTACAAATCATCTTAAGTTTACTTTGGATAACTTGGGAGGCACTGATATCTGAGCTCAAAATCTGTTAAGGCATATACCAAAACCACACCCGTAACTATCCTCACCTTAATCTTCAGATAATAAATCTTAAATGGGATGAGGAGTACCATTTTAAAAATCTATGTTGCATTTTGATCTCTGGCATAAAGCAAGGTAGCTATTGCAATTCAAAGTTAGGTTGCCTTGGCAAAGTTTTCCTTCAAATTCAGAATATTCCCACAAAAATGTAATTTATCTATACTACAGCTAAGAAAAAAAATGTCATGTTTAAGTTCTTTATTATGGAAATTTAAAAATGCAGAGGTCTCTCCAGATGATGGCCTCAGTTGAGGTTGTCACTTCATAGTTTTTGATTCTCCCCTCTTCTGATGCTTCCAAAATTCTTCCAAAGATCCATAATAAAGAACAATTCAACATCCCACAGCATATTTAACTTCTTCTGTTCTTTCCTTCCTTCAACCTTTTTTTTTTTTAAAAAAGAAGAAAAAAATCCACTTGAAGTGAAAAGGTTTGCTTCTTCCCATTTTAAGAGAAGAGATATTGTCATACACCAGATATGGGACTTAGTTACCACTTCCATTGAAGAAAAAAAATGTTTGGTAGGCCTGGGCTCTGACCTTTTCTGACCTCATTCAATCACAAGCCACACAGCACCTTTCCACTTCTTCATGCTTGAGTGAAGCTGAAGAAAAATTTCACCTGCTTTAAGTGTCTCATTAACTTTAATGCATGGATTTCTTCTGACAGACATGATTTTTTTGCAGGCCTGCAAAGAAGCCTGAAAAATGGCAGCTTCTTTAACAAATAGCAGGCCTTACAAGAGGCTCAAAGCACTTTTTCTGAATTCTTTTCCAAGTATACACTGCTTTCACGTGCAGTCCTTACTGAAGAACTGGCTATGAGATCCTGGGCATCAGATACAAAGTCGCTTTCACAAGGTCAATTGTGATGAGAAAGATAAGCCAAGGCTACTAGCAACTTTCTGACCATTTTGTTATTTGCTTGCCATCACTTCTTCCTCGGCTCCATTCAGAACTGGGAGGAAAGCTTTGTAAACTGAGTGAGGGGCTTGCCATTTCAAATGCTACGTGGAGATTCAGCTCCTATAATGGCAGTCTTCCTAGCTGAAGGATCCCGTAAAATTGGTAATGCCATTTATGTATAAAACCTCAAGTTCCATTCTTAAAAGCTCAAAGAAGGTTAAATAAACAATAATTCCTTTGTAGGATATCCTTCATTTGCATCAACATCAGGAAAAATCCTTAATGCTGTAAGAAAAGACTTATGTGTCATTTTTCTCCTACAGTGCCAATTTTAGAGTTAATTTTGACATTCCCAACATGAAATATTTATAAAGGTATCAGCTGCAACAATGTCACATTTAAAGAAAAATACATTTTTTTTCAAATGTTAGTTTGAACTAAAATTTGAAATATCACATAAATGAAGAAGTGACAGCTGACCCATGGGTTTTGGGGGTAACAGATAACTATTGCAAAAATGAATTCCTATGAATCCCCTGGTAGCATGAAGCAATTGTACGTTTCAAATTTCCACTGGGTGTTGGAAGTACAAATACAAAAAAAATGTAATACGTGTTGAAATGTGCGCCCTATATTTAAGAATGCTTCTAGTCCAAAGTGATTTTTCATGATCCTGTTGTTGCACCTGGAAATTTATTGCAAAGTTGTTACTATCATCCCTTCTTGTGATGATGATAGTCTTCAACATATGCTCCTATTTCCTTATCAAAGCAGACAAGCTTAACTAATTGCAGAATTGCTAGCTCAATGACTCTTAATAGCTCATAAATGCTTTCAATATTATGTGGCCACAGAGAATCTTCATTGTGGTAAAAAAATAAACCAAAACAAAAAAGAAACCATTTTTACCATGAAAAGACTGGGGATGCAAACTAACCTTTTCATTTGCCAAAGAACAATGTAATCCAACAAAAAAGAGCTTAAATTCCTCTGTGTGTATGCATGTGCATGTGAATGTCCACTCCAATTTTTCTCAGGGCAGTGCAAATGATTTTATACTGCATAATTCTAGTACCACTCTGAACTATAATAATTGTTTGTAAATAAAAATTAAAAACAAACCTAGTCAGAAATAAACTGACAAAATGTACATTCTTCTCTGTTAAAAAAGTAAATAAAATAACATTATTTAAATTGTGAATTATCTGTAAGACATACATTACAATTACATAGATACATATCAATACAGCACATTTAATCTGCCCAAAATGATTACAAAGCCTGTATGGATGCTGTGAGATACATATACATATACGTATACATATCTCACAATGATTATAGCATTCATAATTGCACTAGGCCTACTTTTTTTTAAAATTACAAGATTTCATGATTAGGGAACAAAAGCAATCCAAGTTTTAATCAATTTTAATATAAAGAATTAAGGGTCAATAGAAATTTTATTAGTAATATGTTGTAGATTATCCATGAAACATTATTTTAAGAATGTTACACTGGGAATCTGGCCCTTGTGCCAATAATACTAATGCTTGGCAGATTGCTCCTACACTTGAGGTTTAGTTGTAATTTATCGCACTCGTTGTCTCCTCTGTGCCCCAAACTGTAATGCAGATCATTTATTTTAACCCTACAACTGCAAAAATCACCTTTAAGAAAAATTAGTCGAATTTCGTATCTGACTTTTCTACCTCATGTGTACAATTTTCCAAACTGACAATTTTTATTTACAGAGTTGTTTTACACAAAACTTTAAAAATCTGATTTCATCCAAAGGAGAGAGAGAGAAAAGAGGCAGAGAGAGAATATCCACCAAAACAGGTATAGTGGATTCCCCCCCCCCCAATTCTATTATTAAAACTGATATATTTACTCAGAAGCCATTCTTCTGAATCCACTGGACTTGTTCTCAGTTATATATAGGTTTAGCCTTCCATTTTGTCATTTCACACACAAATATAGCTTTATATGTACATTTTCTCTCTCTCTCTCTCTTTTAGCTATTTTGTTTTTTTCCATTGAAAGTGCCTTACTAAAGAAGGAAAATAAGAACAGTGTCCAATCTTATAGCACTTTATAGATACAGTATTAAAACTGTTTTTGAATTTGGCCATATGCATATGTATGTAGCACCATTTTTTACTTATAATGTTATGGGGGAAAGCTTGGCGTTGAGAAATGGAATGCTTTTTAGTACAAAGAGGAAACAAAAAAGCTAAACTCTCTTTGTTTTAATATTTGGCAGTTGTCTGGAAGAGATTCTCAATCAGTTAACTTGGCATCTTAAATCACCATCTTATATTTTGCAGTCACTATGTTTATAAGAAGAAAAGAGCCAAATCTGGCCAATACTTTCTGCACAATTTTTAAAAATCTGAAACTGGGATGAGAAATCTAGATAGTCGATTAATTTTAAAAAACAGTCGTTCCAGGCTATAGTATTTCCATGGTATATATTTGGCATCTGTGATTAAGAAGCAAAAAAAAAAAAAAAAAAAGGGGGGGTGTTAAAGGTTGGTTTTGGAAGAGAGTAAATAGATCAAAAAGCTAATCTGCTTCAAAAATGTCCTTTCTCAGTAATTTGTTCTACGTAGTTTGTTGAATTTCTATTGTAACTGTTATGGATAAAAATCTATAATATTCCCAATGAACAACATTCCTTCAGTGCAAAGATGATACCAAAAGGTAGGTATACTTTACATCTGCCAAAAATTAAACAAAATCAGAACACCAATAGATTTGATCCCTCATAAAAGCAGTTTCCTATGGCTTAAATTCTAGTGACGGGGTTCCCCCCCCCACACCAATCTAAAAAGGAAACCTGAAAATGAAATTTGTGGGGATAGGTATTGTACCTGAAAAAAATAAATCAAGACAGACACAGGCAGAGACAATAGGAGGGAGAGCCCAACTTGATTTTGCTTCAGTCACAACAACAACAAAAAATCAACCCAAACCCCTATCATTTTGTGAGTGCACAACTGAGAATTTAGAACACATTAAGTCACAAAATTTCGACTTAAAAAAGAGGAAATGAGCTGTGAATGTAGTTCAGCATCTTTTGTTTCTTTTCCTCTGTAAAGTTTAAATAAAATTGTAATATTTACTACAAACTCTGCAAATATTAACAGAGTCCAGGCCAGCAATAAATTAGTATTACGCAGATCGTTTTCACAGATAATACAGTCCCTCTTGAATATCTTCAATTGCCCGAAGTGGGTGGGTAGAGATCTAAGAGGCACAGTTAGACCAAGTTGTACTCCTTCAGGTTTAATTGTAAGATAGTGTCCTTGACAGCAGCAAAGACAAAGCGAATATTCTCTGTGTCTGTGGCACACGTGAAATGGGAGTAGATAATTTTTTCACTCTCAGGATTCAGGTCAACAAACATCTTCAAGATAAATTCTCTTGCTGCCTGCGCATCTCGCTGAGGTCCTGTTACACCAGAAAAGAAGTATATTGAATTTATCTTCGGAAAAATAGAGGTAGTCCTTGACTTACAACTATTTGGTTAGTGACCACTGGAATTCATGACGGCATTTTAAAAAATGACTTATGACCATTTTTCAATTTATGACATTTTGTGATCAAAATTTGGACGCTTGGCAATTGGCCTGTATGCATGATGGCTGCATTGACCCAGGGTCATGTGATCACCTTTTGCAACATTCTGACAAGCAATGTCAAAGGGGAAGCCAGACTCACTTAATGACTGAAGTGATTCCCTTAACAATTATGGCAAGAAAGGTTATAAAATGGGGCAAATCTCACTTAACAACTGTCTTGCTTAGCAACAGAATTGTTGGGCTCACTCTGCTCGTAAGTCAAGGAATACCTGTAAATGGCTATTATTACACTGTGGTGATATCTAAGCAAGAAATGTGGACTGAATATTGAAGGGTGAAAGAGAAGTTGTGGACTGAAAAATGATACATCCCAACATTTTACTCAACAATCATGGTAAACTTGGAGAATTGACATTTAACCTTTTAAACTAAAGATGGTTAAAAACAAGCCAAAGGCAAGAATTTCACAGTACATTAGGATGGGAGCTACTATACTGGTATACTTTAAACAAATAGAAAGAATATAGAGGGAGAAATGATTGAGAAAGAAGACAGGGGCTTCATTTTAAAACAAGATTAGAATGACTGTCACTGGGAGATTCCAGGCAATATAGCCATTGGGAAAGAAACATATCAGCTTTCAAGGGTGAAGGGAAAAACCCTTCTCTTTGCTTCAATTACTGGTACGTTTTTCAGCAGGTGCACTCTCTCTCCACTTCTCAATAAGTAGAGGTACAAGGCATAGAATGTATAATTATCAATTTAACAAACACATCCTTTTAGTAAGACATGCACTGCCTCTGAATTTGACTTATCCTATTCTGTTAATCCTATGAGATTAAGAAGAATGACAAATACGTTAAACTCCATCACTCCAGTTATGTATACATGCACAACCAGACAGTTTAATAAACAAAACATCCTCCAGTCATATGGATAAATTTCTTCCTCCTCAAATCTTATTCAGATGAACTGAAGAAAACAAACCATAGTATGTTCAAGGGCTGTTTTTCTAGTTAACAAATAACAACTAACGCTTTGAACTTGTAGTTAAGAATGCACCATTTAATTAGAAGTTTGGGAATGGTGGCCATAATATTACAGAACTACAGAAGGCAAGCTTGTTCTCACTTATCAACTCTATAATGTTGTCTTATTGCTGTTATACTACTTGCACACAATGTCTTATTAAAAACAAACAAACTTACCATCATACTCCGGGAAATAGTCAACTAGATGTGAATACATTATTTTCTCCTCTAAAAGGTCTTTCTTATTTAAGAATAGAATGACTGAAGAATTCTGGAACCAGGGATATGTGATAATTGTCCTAAATAGTGCTTTGCTTTCCTCCATTCGATTCTGGAAGAGCAAAAAATAGTCAATTAACATTAACGTACCTATAGTGATTGTTTCAAAAGCATAATCTGTTCATATGTTTTTGTTTCGTTTTTCTTGGATAGATGCACAAATCATATAATGAATAGATATAAATTTATGAATTGATGAATCTGGAGTTCTGTTTAAATTCCAAGGTTCAATTCATCTAATGAATTAGAAAATAACTGGAGGTTTGCAATCTTTCTCATCTTCCCTTTTAGCACATTTCTTCCGTTTCTTGTTTAGTATTAATCATAGGCTGAAGTGATTTCAAAAACAGTTTACTACAGAATATTTTTTCCCCAAGTCAAAAACTTCCAGGAAGAAATGGTGAACTGAAGATAATTCTGCCCAAAATGGATGACTCCAACAAAATGAAGACTCAGTTAAGACCTGCTCTTCGTATGTCCTCTTCAAACAAGGAAAGGACCAGGGATCACCCACAAATGCTCCTTATAGTTGCTCCTCACAAAGAGGCTGCAAGATAGGTTTAGAGCTCTGGGAGACTAGGGAATAGTCACCTTACTCAAACCGTAGTCAGGATCTTTGAAAGGACACTGGACAAATATACTTCCTTTTTACATCACTTTCGGAAATGGTTGTTATTGCTTTTTCTAATCACTTTTGGAAATCGTTTTTTAACTGCTTTTCAGCTAGTAGAAACCTTTGGATTGACATGTTTTACAGCACTTGGAAGATTTCTTTCAAATCTTAGCAAAACAATTTTAAATAAGATTTTGGAATTAGTTTTAAGTATCCTTCCTACAAGAAAATTCTTTTGTTTTAAATTCTCTTTTTAAAAAAATGATAGGATGAGACTTTGAAAGTGGACGCTAGAGGGAATCAGAAAGAGCTAAAAATTACAATTGAAGGAGAGGAGCTCTTAAATGTGACTTACAGTACTAATGTAGAATGAAGCATAATATTGGACATGTTGAAGGATATTTTTGAACAACTGACCCAAAAGTTAATTTTAAGACTGTCTATGTTGGGTGTGAAAGATTAAGGTCCACACATGAAGGTCCAATTAAATGGATTCATTGATACTTGTGCCTAGGTATAGGAATATTCTGAACTAATGATTAGCACTTGGTAGTAATTAGTTAAGGGTCAACGGAATTCAAGGGGGGGGGTTGACTTAGTTTACTTATGGCTATGTAGATATCTAGGCTGATCCCACTTTTAATTTTGCCCCGAGTGTTTGCCATTCCTTCCTCTACAGTCTACCTTTAGAGATAGACTGTGTTTAGAAAATGTTAAGGGATGTATAAATAAATAAATAAAAAACCGGGATTTACACCAGACCTGAAATGCTGAGGTTTTAAGGGTTTGTTTGTAGATAAGTGATGGGATAGAGAAAGAAAAGATCATCCTAATAAATATTAAATGCTCCCTGAAGGATGTTCTCTTCTATTTTTGACTGAACCCTATGGCCCCACTTTGCTTCTAATAGTTTATAAATGAAGAAATATCCTATCTTTAAACACTGTACCACTGCAGTCAGGGATTACTGCAGTTAGATAGCTGCAGGTTTTATTATCTGATTTGGCTATCATTTAACCAGTAATGCTTCCTTTAAATCTGTTGCTAAATTTGCATTCTTCAAAGATGCCAAATCATTTCAATGATATTGTTTTTACACAGAAAAGTTCTAACAGCATAAATGGAAGAATTAAAATTAGTAAATGCACATATACACATAAACATATTTTGCGCCTTAGTCTATCCTTCTAGATAAGCCTTTTAATATTTGTTGGCAATAGTTCATTACAGTAATTTCATAATGCACCTAAACGTCTCTATCATCTATTAGTCATTAGACCATCTGTTTTTTCTCTTGATCGGGATTACCCATTTAATTAGTAATACCAAGAACAGAAGCACAATTCTTTGTATACAAGACTGTTCTTTAGTTCTTTGCTTTCATACATTTTAGATAGAAGTTGCTTTGATGCTATTCCCCTGTTCATTTCTTCAGACACAGCAGCTTTTGTGAACATATGCTCTGCTGGTCTAGATACTTGCATACATACCTCCTAAAAAGTTATCCAAAATTCCTGGATTTAAAACTACTCCAAATTCACATTTTTAAATACTCAGTGCTTTCTTTATACATTTCTACCTTTTCATCTTTACAAAATAAAACTGTAGGTGTGGAGCTTTAGAATAATGGACAGCCTATCTGCAAATACCAACAAATATTTTATTATACAGTGGAATTCTCCAAATTAAGATATTTACTCTTTGCCAATCAGCAAATTACGACCCCCATGTTTTTCATCCTAAACTAAAATCAAACACGGACTACGGTTTGCTCTCTGTCTCCTCAGAGTTATAGTTAGACAATGTAAAACTTTTATTTTATGCCGAACCACACAAGTATCGTATTCTTGTGTGCTGCCATTATGTTAAAAATATGAACTCTAATTGCAGAGAAAACTAATTTTCAAAAGATAGTTTAACCTAATGGTATTTTTTTCCGAGACAGTTTCTATATACATTAGTTTGCCTTAGCTGACTTGAGGTATCCTCAATAGCAGTTTCAGATAGGTAACAATTTATTTCATTGTTAACAGGAATACTATAATTCCATTAGGCAGACTAAGCAAATACACCAAGTACCCAAAACTTCTGGAACATGTAGCAGAATTCATGTATGGAGGATTCTTCCAGAGTGGAATCAATATTTTACTACAGCTTTAATGGCAAGGCCATGTTTAATCCTTGTGATCCTAACACTCGTAACTTTTTTGATAATGAGTAGAAAACTCTACTGCAGAAGCATTTTGGGATTCATTAACCAACAATTTTGATAAGATATGGCACTTAGGATTAGGTAGTGCACATGTGCAATGCACTAATTAGCTATTTATTATTATGATCACTGGAAAAGCTTTTATAGCAAGATAGGTATTAGGAAGCCTAATGTTATGTTTTAGTAAAAAATCAGCCCTCAGACAGCTAGTAAATAGATCTCTGATTGTAAATAATAAAGCTTAAGTAAGGCCGTGAATAGTTCAAAGTAAACTGACTTTTTTACAGTTGACTAATCAATAAGCTGATGACCAAATGTAGGCAGGATTGGATGCTCATTCTTTGTCTTTATTGTGGAATGTTTGATTGCTTGATTATTTGACATCACGTCATTGTTGACTTTTATTCTGCACATTAAAATAGCAGCTACAATTAAAAAATGTATTTTGAAGCTTCAAAGTTATAACATGGTTTTACCAATTTATGATACTCAATAAACATTTTGATTATAACCCTATCTCTTTATCATATATCATAATGCAAGGCAGACTACTTGAATTTAAAAAAAAATAGTGAAATAAGGTTTCAATAGGATCATTTAAATAATTTTCATACCCTATTTATTGGCATTGTTCACAAAAAATAAGTATATCTACTGTGCAACAATCCTGTTTCGAAAGATAATTTATCATACTTTTCTTCTTAAAGAAGAAAACTGTTATATTTTATTTTTGATCCTCTAAAAATATTAGGAAGATTTATGGGTGTTTTGACTCAATGTTGAAATGTTTTGTGGATTTCTCTGGAACATTTGTCTTCATATTGGGCGCTAAGATTTAAGTGCATATCTTTATGTTTGGGAGTCTGTCAAAACGTCTGATGATACCTACCATATGACAAATACTGCCTCATTTGAGTTGGTCACAAATTATTCCAATTCCTTTTTTTTTTTGAAACACTATTCAAGGCAGATTGCTGATAACTCTACCCTGATAGCTGAAAATGCAAGCTCTAGTACCAAAACTCAAAAAGCACAGTGGAAAAAAAGAGAGACTAAAATTAAATGTAAACGAGACCAAGCTAATGACAACAGGTAGAACAATCAGCTTTAGAATAGACAAAATAGTGGCTAGCTTCTGCATTTTAGGATCTAGTATCACTGGTACAGGAACAAGTGGTCAAGAAATACGCTGATCCCTTGATAGACCAGCCACGAAAGCCTTGGAAAATGTATTCAAATACCATGATGTGTTTTTATATCTACCAAGATCAGAATCATACAAGCCATGGTATATCCTGTGATACTCTATGGAAGCAAAAGATGAACTTTAAGAAGCAGGATAGGAAGAGTAATGACATTTTTAAACTTTTGTGTTGGAGAAGACTCCTGGACAGCCAACAAAACAAACAGATGGATCTTCAAACAAATCAACCCTTCAAGGCACAAATTGCCATGCTCAAATTATCCTACTTTGGACAGATTATGCTAGGGCCAGCTCTCTGGAAAAGGTTGTGTAATGCTGGGAAAAATAAAAGAGAGGAAGAGAATGGCCAACAGCAAGATGGGTAGATTCAATTTCACTGGCGATGACTACACTATTGGGAGCCTCGGAAGAACAGGTTAGGGATAGATTGTCGTGGAAAAAAATCTATCCATGTGGTCAACAGGAGTTGAAAATGACTTGATGGCATATAATCAATCAGGACAGATCGATATTACTGTACATTCGGTAAATGTGGCATCTATTGTAAATATTTTTGTTACAAACTGAATGAAAAAATAATATGCAAAATGGATAGAATGGAATAGAATGATGTGATGGATCTTCAAACAAATCAACCCTTCAAGGCACAAATTGTCAGGCTCAAATTATCCTACTTTGGACACATGGGGGAGGTTTTTTCAAGTAATCTTATCAAAGATTATAATTACTATAGTAAAAATGAATGCACATTACAAAAAGATAGGAAAGCAGAACAAGTAAAAGTCACAAAGGGAACAAATAAGAAAGATATAAAGAATAGAAAGAAAAAAAGAAAGAAAAATAAGGATAAGAAAAAATTCCTTTCTGCCAGTTATTGGTCCTAGTGAAAGTTACCCTGAAGTCTATATTTCCCGTTCTCACAGATTTTAGGCAGGTAAGTATCTAAACATACAAATTATTCCAGGAAACCTAAATTACACACAAGCATAAAAATAATAAATAAACACTGACAAATGCAAACAC